AGCTTTATGAAATAATGCCAGGCCTAAAAGCTTTGAAAGAAAGTCTGCCCTAAAAGCCCTCGGTTCTCCTGCTGAGACCCAGAATCAAGAATAAGAGTGTGTGTGTGTGTGTGTGTGTGAGAGAGAGAGAGAGAGAGAGGAGAGAGAGAGAGAGAGAAGGGGGTGGGGGAGTGGAGATTACCAGTGCTTATCAGAGGCATGATAGGCATATCATATTTAAGTACAGTACTTCTTAATATCCTGCTTGGCGTCTCCAAATTGGTGCTGCCCCATTTGTGATTTTCTTTTTGTTTTGTCTTTGGGTGCCTTGATGGTAATTATGCAGCTCTCATGGAAATACTACATTTTGTATGCCAAAAAAAGCTATCTTAAAAAACTCAAGAAGGGATGACTTTCATGTTTTTACAAAAAGAGTTAATTAAGCTCACAATTCAACTGATAAAGCCCTATTTCAAACTGTCTGCAGAAACACTGGTTTTCCATTCTTGCCCTTGGTCTTCTGTCCTTTCTGTATTATTTTTAGGCTAGCTGGGCCTAGTTAAGTAGTAGAAACTATTGTGGTTTTCTTTTTCTTTAAGCACTATTTTTTTTCTGATTATTTGGGGGGGGGAGTGGGAAGCCCATCGTCACAATAGGCCATATTTTAAATTCGCCTTAGCCTTTTAGGTAATGATCGCTGACAACCACTACTTTGTGTTAAGGAAGTAAATTATCCCAGATTATATATTCTGTTTTCATTTTTCACAGACTAGGCTGTGTAGGATCCCATAGCTGATTTTTCTAGGGATGTTTCATGTTTACAAAAGCCAGACCCCGGGGGGGGGGGAGTGGGTTGAAGGAAAACAAAAACAGATAATATATCCTCAGTTTCCACAGACTTGTTTCTAGTTCATGGCTCAGTATTTTCCTGTACTCATCATCATTTCTTTCCCAGTAGTTTTATCAAGTATCTATGGGATAGGGGAAATGTTGTTGAGCTGCAACTGCAGTGTGTTGTCTGCCAAGAAATAAAAACTTCCAATAGTTACCCTGCAGGTGCTGTTTCCTGGGCTGATAAGAGCTGTAGTCCAGATGTCTGGAGTACGACTACCATTGACCTGTAAGGCAGGGTTTCCCAACCTTGGCAACTTGAAGATGTCCGGACTTCAACTTCCAGAGTTCCCCAGCCAGCGAATGCTGGCTGGGGAATTCTGGGAGTTGAAGTCCGGACATCTTCAAGTTG